ATTCTGCGATGCTATCTCTGACGTCAGCGGCTCGTTCCCATTCAAGTTCTGTGACGGGTTGTAATTGTGATATCATTTTTGATAAACTCGGACGGGATTCCCTTCCATCGAGCCAATACGTTTTCATTGCTCCTAAAAACAGATTAAAAATAAATATTTAGTGCAGTTAATTACTAAATATTTTTTTGTCATTATAAAAAAAGACCAAAAACCGACCTTTTCCTTTAACTTGTATCTCTCCTCTTTCGACGACTTTATACGACGGAGATAGTAACTCCTGCGTTGTTTGTGAGATGTGTATCCTCATAGCTTCGGATGTTGACTCCATGCGGGAGGCGGTGTTCACGGAGTCCCCGAACAAACAGTAGCGTGGCATCTTCAGACCTACTATGCCTGCCACCACCGCCCCTGAGTGTACTCCAACACGTATCGAGAGATGGGAACCTAGGAAATATGTTGCGTTCGAAACATTATTACGCCCGTCATTAATCAGATTTCTTACCAATATTATAAACTAGCTGTTATTCGCGAATTCGTCGCCGTGAAATAAAAAAAAATAAAAAACATAGCCTGCGTCACTCACTAATAACGTAGTCTTTTGGTGAATAATTTTTAAAATCGGCCCAGTAGTTTTTGAGTTTTTTCAATGAATATATAGTTGGAGTTTGTAGCCTAAACAGCTGAACGGATTTAATGAAATTTGGTATAGATTTACATCTGTACAGCCTGGAAGAACACATACGTTAATTTTTTTTTCATTTCACGCAAACGGAGTCGCAGGCCAAAACTAGTAACAAAACCATGAAAGAAGTACTTTTCATAAAGTACTTTTTTTATAAATTCAATGTATTTTTGGTATAATTGGTTCTTTAATGTTAAATTTACCTGTGCTCGGGTCTTTTAGGTCAGTGATAGCGTCGACCATATCGAGTGCCATGTCACACACCTTCTCTGCGTGATTGTCCTCCTTCTCCGGAGCCCCAGACACCACCATATACGCATCTCCTATTGTTTCCACCTAAAAAGTATGTAAGAATGAAGATAGAAATGTATGGAAAAGCAGCACATACTATGCCGACCCTCAGTAACAAGTTGTTGACGATGATGATAATGAAACTACATAAATGTAAACATTTCTACTTACATATAAGTATGTAAGTTATTCTGAACACTGTCTTAATATATCTTCTTAATCAAACAACGTCGAAACATGTTCCTTCATACAAAAGACGTATAGAGTAGCGTAGCATGGAACTTGTAGGTAACTAAACTAAATGAAAAATTTCGTTCTTTGATAACGGTATTAGAGAATTCTTTCATATTTATATTAGCAGGGTTTTCATGTACTATCGGGGTTTCTGGTGGTTCCTACCTATTTAGCGATAGTCGTATGAATGTTTTTGTACGATATATTTGGTACGGTAACTTTTTAATTTTATGTTACGATAACATAATTGATTATTTCTAAAACGAGGTGTGCTTTGTATCGTTGCAATAAACAAGGCGTTCTGTAAGTCGAACACCACAAATGCGTCTGACTGTACTTATAACTTTGAAGGTAGCTGGTCTACACTCTCTAGGGCCTAGGTATGCCTGTAAATTAGTAAATTACTCTATTGAATAGACCTTTAATCAATATATTGAACACTAATTACAGTAGTTTGTTAAAACACTCTTGGGATATTCCCAGTACAATGTAGTACGTATTTGAATATGCTAATTTCTATGCTATCTGTTTGTTGTGAACTAGATTAAGGGTGCATAAACAGCGGTCCTGTTTTATTAATGTCTAATTTGAAACTTACTAATACTAATGTTATAAATTCGAAAGTTTAGATGGATGGATGTTTGTTAGAGTTTGTAGTCTAAACGGCTGAACGGATTTGAATGAAATTTGGTGTAGATGTAGAGGATAGACTAGAATAACACATAGGCTACTCACTTTTGATTCTTTTAATTCCACGCGAAGTGAATTGGGGGCGAAAACTAGTACTTTATAAAACTAACCTTAAACCACTGCCACATAATTACTTATTTTACAGAAATCACAAATTTCTTTGGAAACGACAAAAAATCAATGATGAATATCGTTGAAGTTTGTCTAAGTTTCTAAGTTCTCTAAGTTATAATAATAAAGTTCGATGTGGTCAAGTTAATGTTTCAAAGGCTGACCTTTGAAGCGTCAACTTGAATCTGTACTTAATCTGATTGAACTAAAAAAACTGTTCGCTTTGTAAACTAATTCGCTGGTTTAAATTAATTTTTAAACTTAAAGGGATTCTTACAGTTTTTGTTAAAAGATCACTTTCGGAATTTCATTATTTTCGCTGAAAAGCAACTTATTGCTAAAATAGGTGTCACCGGCAGATGAAATACCCTTAATGTTACCTTAATTTAAATGGTTTTATATATATTTTACATTTTTAGATTCTCTAGGGCGCGGAGTAGATGTGAACCCACAACTTTTTTTCGAATATCGTTCAACGCAATTTAATTTAAGAATTATTTTTATAGGCCAAATGTGTTTGTATTAACGACAATTGGAAAACCGGTTATCTCCTTTGTTATAGCTAGTAACCTTTTTACTACTAAGCCTTTTAAAAAATCCCCTAAAATATTTGTAGAGCTAACCTTATAAACCCTGTTTCTTTCGGTGAGAGTGTCGAAGATGGAGTACATCGCATTGAGCATGGAGACCACTTCCATTGGAGTGATGCGGGAACAGATCTCCGTGAAGGTTACCACGTCGGAGAACAGGATGGACACGCTATCGAACATCTGCAATAGAAATAAGCATTTAACACGCTGCAGTAATGAAAAAAAGAAGGTTTTTATAATCATCATGGTCATCTTCCTCCTTATCCTAGTCCCGTAGTGGCGCAACAGGTTTTTGTCCTCCACATAACTCTATCATACGTCATCTCTGTCATCACTCCTTTCTTGATGTCACCTTTTACGCAATACATCCATCTCTTTTAGGTCTACCTCTACCGGTTTTCCACACTTATAACTATTATCTAAACTATTATAATAAAGTGTAAACACATATTTCTTTGTTGCCTAAGATGTTAGCAATTACAGCATATTTTTGAATAATTTTTTTTTAATAAAAAGCCGTACATTTAGGTCAGCCATTAAACTTAGGGCGTAAATATTTTGGGTAAAAACCCTAATGTAGGAAAGAGACCATAAGTTGCTGCCAACATCAAGGAAGCAAGGTTGTCATAACGTCGTGTCATTTGACATTTGTAATTGATAATTTGACAGATGTAAACAATAAAATAAAATTTT